AAATATTCTATCAACTTTTTGTATTTTAATTAACATTTATTTTAAAGATAAAAAAATGTAATGATGTTTCTTGTTCATATTGTAAACCAATCCAGCTTCCACTACAAGAATTTCATAATTTAAGTTTCCTTCCAGATCAAATTCCTTCTCAAGGTGATTAATCTACTGTATTTTATACATTTAATATGAATTTAACATAATCTTTTTTAAAAAAAAAATAGATAATACCGATCATTATGCAACTTTTCAAAATGTTTATAGAATTAAAACTACTGAAGAATATAGACCAATGTTTATGCAATTGCAGGCGAATACAGAACCTATTCCAAAATCTATTCTAGTTGTAGGAAAAATTCGTGATTATATTAATTGTGAAAATTGTAGAAAACGTCGTTATGTGTATAGTGATAAGTTTCTAAATTGTGATGAATATGATGATTATCAACAAGCATTGGAGTCATATTCATATTCCTGTGATGCACCAATTTTTCCTGATGATCATTACTTAAAAGAAGTAGTGTTTGTATGCACACAAATTAATTGTGATTCGCCAATTGAAATATTATATTATTCAAGTCGCAAATCAGGAAATTACCCAATTTGTTATTATTGTGGAGAAAGCAAAGATTTGATGACTCCTCCTGAATCTTTAAAACAACATTTCAAGCAAATTTATCTATTATGTGAGATGTATCAGGAAGGTAGAAAAGATTTTTATACTAAAAGAGAGATTAAAAACTAATGGACATGCTTCAAAATGTCATAAAACATAGATTTATTTTATGTAAATAATTTTTTATGTAAATAATACATTTTATATATAATAATAAATAATAAATACTTTTAATAATTTTTATTGATTTTCGTTAACGTTAACAATTTTTTTTAAAATTTGATATTACATTATATGTAGCTAATAGAATTACTATATTTTTTTGTCATGTGATATAACGATGTATTATTTTTAGCATTCCCACCCTCCTTTTTACTGTTTACTTATGCTATGTTAAACATAGAATTAAGTTGGAGTAGCCTAATAAAGCTAAAACTTGTACGAGGAATATATCTAGGATAAAGTTTATGTATCTGGTATATAGCCTGTCTCTTAAGCCAATCACAAACTTCATTTAAGGTAAAATTGAACCCAGCTTTTAGAGAAGTTTCATGCAATTTTTTCGCAGTCTTTTGATAGCCTGAAGGCTAATAATAAATCTTTTACAAATTAATAGATATATCTAAATTTCTAGTTTTACTCGAATCTATTTGTATAAAAGGAATCAATGACATGGACCTGGCTTATATTAAAATTCTTGATACTAATAAAGAGTTGTGCAAAGAATTGGCAGATGAAATAGTCTCAAATGATATTTCTAATAAAAAGTTTAAGACTTTTAACAAAGAGTTAGATGCATGTTATAAAACTATATCATAACAAGACTCTACAATCTTAATTCATGAAGATGAGATAGCATCTCTTAAGACTGAAATCAAATCTTTTAAACAGAGTCTTCATAAAGCAATACAGGATTTATGACATAAAGGTAATGCTTAAAGATGGTATAGCAATTGATTTCAAATTTATAAAATGTTGCAACATATTAATTACAGTTTCCATCTTTAGTAATGCTAGTACTACACAAGATATTCATATTTTAAGGTTAGAAGACAAGTTGATCAGCTTAAGACCCGTATTTATGAAATAACTGGTCTAAGTCATAAAAAAGTTTTAAATAATAAAGAAATATTAGATATGGAGCATACAATACAAGCTATTTTAGATAGACGATTTGAGGCTTCAGCTTCTTTAGCAAGAATTCAGATATATTTGGATAATGCAGGGGTTATACTTCCAGATGATATAAGAGGACAATTTGATAGAATTGGTACATGTTTGGCTAATATTGTTACTTATACTGGTACAATTCGTCAGTTTTAGCAAGATCGAAATATGGTAGTAGAACAAAGTGTTAGATGAACTAGAACTCTAGAGCAATAATTGCAAGAAGTCTGAGCTAGGTCACAGAATGATAACCAAATACTAACACAAGCTCTAAATAATGAAGCAAATGAATGACGGGTATGGTGACTTAGGACTCAGAGAGCAGAAAGATGTAACCATATATTATTACAAGAAAAGGTAGACCTTTGGCTAATAAATCGAAGACATAAAGCTGAAGCTGACTTAGCAGAATTCAATAGAGCCTGAGTATTTAACCGATATCAAAAATGAAAAGCTCGAGAAATAAATTTAAGACAAATTATTTTGAATTTACAAATAAATCCTTCAGGAAATATGGCTATTCTACCAGATGTTTTAAATTCAATAGCCCTACTTTTAACTCAAATCCCATAATATATTGGTCAAGAGCTACCAGATGACTATTATAATAAGGTTATACAGGTGATTAATTATAGTCATTCATTAGTAGTAGCAGTCCTTAATGATGATGTGAAAACTAATGTATTAGCAGGAAAGATGGCAGGAAGGTTTACTCCTCCTAATCTATTTAATAATAATGACGGAATTGTGGTTGCTACTCCAGCATTATTTATAGTATGGCTTCGAGAAACAAATCGTGCAGTAAAACTAGGTTCAGCACAAACTTCTATGAAAGCGCTTATGATTGATAAATTCCTTTCTATCAATACTCCAAAAACATATGAAAAATGAATTAAACTATATGTAGATGCTTTACCATTTGTAGATGTTCTACCTATTCTTTATATTCATTTACCTGAAAATTTGGAATTATAGTGTCACTGGGAATAATCTTCTCTGATTACTTTACATAATTTATCTAAGTTCCTTTACTGCGGTAAGTAACTTCCTTATCGTCGGACTTTACAACCTTAGGGAATCTTAC